GGACGCGACGGAGGCACAGACCTACGCAGCAAGGTCCACGGTCGACGGCAATGGCGTCGGCGTGGCACCAGTAGGCGGTCCCGTCGAAGCAGGAGAAGAGGAGCGAGGAAAGGAGGCGGAGGCACTTGAGGCGCAGGTGGACGGATGCGGCGAGGCCGGCACGAGCGCGAGCGCCGAGGCAGCAGCTCTCCACGCGCCTCCCAGGCAGTGCGACGACGGCTCCGAGACTGGATACTAAGACTGGGCCAGAGCAGACCTGGGCCCATGAATCATGAGAGAGGGAAAACAAACGTGCACACGCACGAGCTTGAGGCGCCGCGCGGGTGGTGGGCCTGAGGGGCGTGGCTGTTGGGATGACCACGAGGAAGAGAGCCCCGGAGGCAGCTGCGAGGAGAGGAGGTGGGCCGGCGACATGGAATACGTGGAGGATACAGGCTGGAGGACCGTACGTACACAGCGGAGGATGGCTACAGCCGTCTGCGCCGGTAACCCAGGACCGGAAGACCGGGAACGTGAACGCGGCGTGGCCACGCGGCGGGCGGGGACTGGACAGCCGTACAGGAAACAATAATTAGAGCGCTAAGAATGCGCCGATTCTAGGAGGCATATGGAGTTTAATATTTGTTTGGTGTGGACAAGATGAACATTCACTACCGGACTCCTTGAGTTTGTCGAGTGTCCGAAGCACTCGGTAAAAGACATAAAACACTCGGTAAATGGTTCGCCGAACAGCACTCGCTAAAAACAGTGACGGCAAAGCCAACTTTGCCGAGTGTCTTTTATCGGACACTCGGCAAAGCCTTTGCCGAGCCGACACTCGGCAAAGTTGAAACCGAAAAAAACCCGAAAAAATAGGAATTTTTACCAAAAAAAAAATGAAATTTTTTTTATCGATGGAGGCCCCCACCGGCTAGCGCCCACCCATCTACGACATTTTTCGCGTGAATGAAGGCCCCCGCGTGAATGAAGGCTACGTGGCCGACGCGATTCGAACCTGAGACCTCCCGCTGTGCACGTACCTCCTCTACCACTACACCACACTCTCGCTTGTGTCTCGATTCCGTTTTAGTTCCCAATATATTATACTAAACCGAGTGTAAATTGCATGTTTGAGGCCCTAAACGAATTCAAATAAAAAAGTTGTAAACTACAAAGTTTCATAACTTTTCGAGATCTACACTTTTAGTTTAGGAAGTTTTTTCATCCGAGGTCGTTTACAAGATTTGAATTTTAAAATTTTGAAATTCAAACACAGTTTTGCATGACAAGATGTTTTCAAATCAAAAAGTTGTCAACTACAATGTTTCATAACTTTTCGAGATCTACAGAGTTTATTTTGGTTGTTTTTTCATCCGAGGTCGTTTGAAAAGTTTGAATTTTAAAATTTTGAAATTCAAACGCAGTTTTGCATGACAAGATGTTTTCAAATCAAAAAGTTGCCAATTACAAAGTTTCTTAACTTTTCGAGATCTACAAAGTTTATTTTAGTTGTTTGGTCATCTGTTCATCCAACATGGTCGTTCTAACATTGTTCATAAATCTTATATCTCTCTCTTGTAGTTTCATAAACTACAAGAGAGATATGTTAGATTTGTGAACAAATTTATTTTCACTTTGTCGTATGAAGAAAAGACCAAAACAAACATTGTACATCTTGATGAGTTATACAACTTTGTAGTTGAAAACTTTTTCATTTGAATTAATTTACTGCTTCAAAATGTGCTTTGAAATTTTCTTTGCCGAGTGTAAAAAAAACACTCGGCAAAGAAGCTATTTGCCGAGTGTCAAAAAAAACACTCGGCAAAGAGCCTCTTTGCCAAGTGTCAAAAAAAACACTCGGCAAAGGCGTCTTTGCCGAGTGCCCGAAAAACAACACTCGGTAAACCACCTGGCACTCGGCAAAGAGCCGGTCTCCGGTAGTGATTTATCTTTTGTTACTTCTCTTTTCAGATGTATTCTGCTTTAGCTCTCTATGTTTTTGTACAAAACGGCTTGAAACTTTTATATCAAACATATGGAACAGGTTGAAGTCATATTCTTGAACTTATCAGCCGGTATAATGTTTTTCTCTCACAGCAAGTCAGCTTCAGCCAGCTTATCAGCCGTAGAAACCATCAGCCGATCAGCTCCTTATCAGCCGTAGAAACCATCAGTCTAGTCTATTCACGCCTCTCCTATTTTATTTCCTGGGTCTACCTCAATTGAATTACCACCATTCAGGGGTGAATCTAGCTGAGAACATCATGGGTCAACTTCATTGCGTGACATAGATTTTCTCAAGTTACAGTGGTGTTTTACTAAAGGATTACAAGTTTGGTTGAGGTCGGCAGACCCTGACAAATACTCCCATAGATCCGCCCGTGCCACTATTTTCTTTAATGTAACTTTCACTACTTCATAGGCATCTAAAGACAAGAAAGTGTAAAGAGTAGCCGGCCACCCAGCGTGCCACGTACGTGCGCTTTTGCTGTGGCGTTCGATCGTCACAGGTCGGATCGGACGAACCGCGGTCATTTTTCAAAAAAAACCCTTCTTTTTTCCGGAAATCAACCCGCGCTCCAGAGTCCCTCTCAGGATATTTTGCAAAAAACACCTCAGATTATTTTGAAATCAACCCGCGGTCCAGAACGGATGGCCTCCGGGTTTTTTTTTCAAAAAAACCCTTATCTTTGTTGAAAATCCGCCCGCGCTCCACAAACCCTCTCATCATTTTTTGCGAAAACCTCCTCGGATTTTTCTCAAATCAACACACAGGCCAACTTTGATTATATCTTTTTTTCCAAAAAAAAAATGTGTGGCCAGGTGGCCCTGTGCAAGCGCGTAAATGCCGCCTTTAAAGGACTAGTGGTACAAAATATAGGGATGAGGGAGCTCCATTAGAAAAGTTCCAGCACATGCTTAACATTAAAACTTGGCATATGGGCCAAAGCCTCACACGAGAAAAAAAAACAAGTGGCTAAAATAGTTGATAATCATGCTTTATTAGTTAGAGAATCAACCACCTTGTTGGAGTCTCTTCTGATTTTGTAGTCTTCTTGCTTGAGTGATTGTCTGCAGTTCTAAGATGAGTGGCTGCAAAGACCAATGTCCATGGTGCGTGCATGGAGACCCACAAGCATAATCAGCCTGTTCGCTGGTTGGTTTCTGGGCTTAATAGCCCGACTGGTGCTGGTTTGTTGTGAGAGAAAAACACTATATCATGGCTGATAAACCCTGATTAAAACCAACAAGCGAACATGCTGAAATATCTGCAAGAGTTTGATTAGTGTCAGTAAACAAGGTTACCTCCTAAAGATTAAAGGCCACCGCAAGCTTTGTACATAAAGGAGGATTTGAGCTTCAGCCTCCAAAGGTTCCAAAGCCTTTTGAATAATTCCAATGCATGTGTTTGGATTAATTAGTGCCCTGAATGGCCATCGAGGCATCACGGAAAATTCTAGTCTCACGCATACCATGTGAATTTGATCCATGGTGGGGTGGACTTGCAAAGTTTAGAGCATGAGTTTGTGCAGGAGGATTTGTATCAGAGGCTGTCTCAATTGCCAAAAGAGTAGGCTCCATCATTAGCTTTAGCTTCGTACAAAACTTTTTGAATAGACCAATCGGTGTTATTAAATATGTTATTATTCCTAGCCTTCCATATGCACCACATAATGGAAAAGATCAAATTTGCAGTAGCTTAAGAAGGTCCTTGTTGGCCCTGTTCGCTTGAGCTACTTTCCAGCCATGAAACAGTATTTTTCTCTCGCAACATTTCGACATAAGCATTAGCATAAACCAAATTTCAGCATAAGCGAATAGACTAGTTGTAGAATATCGATAATATGAGAGTGAAGCCCATTGCTCGAACGAGGGCAAGGCGCTAGTTTGGAGACAGAAGGGAAAGCGAACCAAACCACCACGCAAAGCTACAATTGAAAAAACAAGTAAATATCATCTTCTAGATTAGATTAGAACAGAGGGAGCAAGAACTCTCAACACCATATTCCATGAACCTTACAAGTAGTTCTTGTAGCCAACTCAGAAGATTCCATGCAAATATTTTGACGTGGGGCTGGATAATCTTGTCTACCCATATCTGTCAAAGAATATGAATAACCGGCATATGCATATTAGAAAGGGGACTGCTATGCATAGCAGTGTTCGGCTGGCATTAAAATGGTACTGTAGCATCTGAAAAGTACTGTAGCAGCTAGAGAATAGTGAGAGAAAAACGCTGTTTCGACCGGAAAAAAGGAAAGTCCAGCCAGCCAAAAGTGGCCAGCCGAACACACCCTTGCAAGGATCTATAAGCATTTTTAGAAGAACATGTGTCATGGTGTCACGACACATGTTCTTCGGACGGCCCCACAACAGGTGTCATGGTGGCCGCACCCTCGGCGGACGACTTCGTACACAAATCCATCGTCACGTTCACGACGGCATGTGGCAAAAGCGAAACTGACGTCTGACCAAACCTCCCCCTCCTCTGCTTGCAAGGGAAGACAAGAGAGCCTGCTGCTGAAACAAGTCGGCTCGCCGAGGCGGCGGCGCGGGCCCCGTGCCCGCCCCCCTGTCCGTCCGCTCGTTTGCCCGTCACGCTGAACATCTGAGCCCCACTAGAGGCGAAACAGCCCCGCTCCTTCCGCCGCTGCGGCCTTGCGGGTTCCGTGCACACCACCAGCGCGAGAAACCCCGCGGCCACTCCGCGTCCGTCCGATCCCCATCGACGAACCCACCACCCCCCGCAGGCCGCACCGCGCCGGTCCCGCACGGCATGCTACGCACACCCCCCTCCCGGCTGCCGCACCAGCAGCTGCTGCACGCACAACACACAATCGTCGCACGCGCCCACCGGTTCGCTCGCGCTCCGCTCTAACCCCCTGACGGTGGTGGCCGGTTATGCCCGAGCGGTGGTGGATGGACGTGCGCCGGCTCGGAGGCCGCATCGCGGCGGCGCTGAGGGCGCTCGCCGCGGGGGCCCGCTGCCCATCCCGGCGTGGATCGCCAACGTCCTGGTGATGATCTCGCTCGTGCTCTCCTCCTGCAACCTGCTCCTCCTCTGCAGCGACAGGGACCGCCGGCTCCTGCTCCCGCTCGGCGGCCGTGAGTTCGTCACCGTGGTCTGCCAGCTGGCATCCATCGTGTACCTCTTCAGCCTTTGCGGCACTGGCATCCCATCTGCGAACACCGAGACCCCCGCCAGCCGCGACCAGGGCGGCTCCCCCAACCAAACGCGCGCCGCCGCCGACGCGCCGGAGGCATTGCATGACGGGGTGGAGGACGGGGACGAGGAGATCGTCGCCGCTGTGGTGTCCGGGGCGCTGCCGTCGCACCACCTCGAGTCGCGCCTCGGATACTGCCACCGCGCGGCCAGGCTGCGGCGGGAGGCGCTGCGGCGGATGACGGGGCGGGGCGTCGAGGGGCTCCCACTCGACGGGATGGACTACCAGGCCATCCTGGGGCAATGCTGCGAGATGCCCATCGGGTACGTGCAGGTGCCGGTCGGGGTCGCCGGCCCGCTGCTCCTGGATGGGGTACAGTACCATGTTCCCATGGCTACCACCGAGGGATGTCTCGTGGCCAGCGTCAACCGCGGCTGCAGAGCCATCGCTGCGTCCGGGGGCGCCGTCAGCTCGCTGTACCGGGATGCAATGTCTCGTGCGCCTGTCGTCAAGTTGCCATCGATCAAGAGGGCAGCGGAGCTCAAGGAGTTTGTCGAGGCACTTACCATTTTTGAGAGACTCGGAATATTTACATATTTACCATCATGACGATGTGAGTGGTATAAAAAATATCATGTCAATGACTCATGTGTCAGTGACACTCATGTGTCAGTGACACAGTGTAAGATGTCATCCATAATAGTGGTAAATATGTAAATGCTCCGAGAGACTCTGGCTGCTGTCTTCAATAGGTAGACATCCTTTTCCATTTGTCTACCTGAAGATTTGCAGGCTTACTTAAAATGGGACATGAATCTGCTTAACTAATAACTACTTTAGTGCGGGGTGACATTGATAGGAGTAGTTAAAAATACATTAATTCCTTTGGTGCATCTTTAAGTTCCCCGTGTGCTGTTTGACTATTGTCATGATGTTGACGGCTAGAACGACATGGTATTAATATTCTAAGGTCAGGTGATTGCCCACAAAAGCAAGTGTCCTTTTCTTATTTGGTTGATGATGATAGGAGGGACTCCGCAGCTTATTAGCTTATTCCAACCTTCAACATACACTAGCTGAGGCAACAGCAATTACCTCCTATTTTAGTATCAGTGGCATTATCTACTTATGTTTCCTTATTTTCCGGGATTCGTTATCGACCGTTCGCGAATGATGCCAGTTTATACTTTCAGAAATGTCATCCTTGAATTGTCGTGTTGCATTTATCCAACCACAGGATATTGACAAATGATACCAATTATACTTTCTGAAGTGTTGCCCTTGAATTGTCCTGTTGTGTTTGTTGAAACCGCAGGGAATGTTAACAAAAACTTTTTGTCGGTTGGGCCCAATTATACTTTCTGAAGTGTTGCCCTTGAATTGTCCTGTTGTGTTTGTTGAAACCGCAGGGAATGTTAACGGTTTGTCGGTTGGGAAGCTTACTCATGGCATGTGGGCTTACCGTCATATGATTTCCGTACTTCCTAGTAACTGTCAGCATATGTTCTTAGAAAGAAGGACAGTTGATCCTGGCAACTGCTTTCGTTACTTCCTAAACCTAAATTAATGCCAGTTTCTGCAAGTTACAGAAGCTTTAAACATTTGTTCTATTGCGCTGTTCGGAAGCTCTGGTCACTTGCTCTTTCATCTCACTAGAAGCTTTTGATTCTGTTGTTTTCTAGGCTTGATAAGCTTTAGGTTATTTTTGTTTCACACTAGTCCATTATCTAGGGCCTGATTATGTTGTGGTTCTCTGTTGTAAAATTGAGAAAATATGGAGTCTATTTTCTCAAGTTTGTTTTTCAAAATCATGGTCACGTGCACACCCTATCGACATTTTCTTCATTACTACTGGTTGCATGTTAAGCATTCATGGGTAATCTGGCATTTCTATTAGCATTTAGTAATTAGCTTCTTAGGAATGTTGTGTTCTAGCATTTAAATCACTGCACATTTAATTAAGAACGTATCTCATTCTTTTTAATGTTCTTCCTCGCTTTGCTTTATGCCTAATACGTTATTTCACTGCTATGAAACTTTTATCAATCCATTACGATTTCCTCCGCTTCTCTATGTTGACCGTTTTCCTTCAGTTTTTCAAATCTAGTCATGTGGCACCTTTTTTTCACTCTTTCAAAGTACTATATACTGAAACTATTTAATGCTGGTTTGCACCTTTTGAGTATAAGATATACTGAAACGATTTCCTCCGCTTCTCTGATTGTTCGGCTGGCTGGCTGACTCTGTCACTCACGGAATTACTGTTCACGTCCTGATCAAAACAGTATTTTCTCCCACAACAATCAGCTAAAACAGTATTTTTCAGTCCTGCCAAACAGACCCAAGGTCACATGCATTTTTATCATTCAAGCTGTGCATTTGAGACTTGTTACAATATCATTTGTGGCCGTAGCGATTGGCAGACAACCTGTTTGGATAACGCGGTTGTTCCTATATAGCATTTGCTGATTTGGTACTTCCTTTAGAAGACTAGTTTTACTATGAAACTTAGCTGCTGTTATTTCTCTGTTAGTAGTATTGCATATCTCATCAAACTAATTTTCATTCTGGACTTCCAGTTAGACATGTATCATATGCATGCTTGTATGAGGGACACATTTCTTGGTTAGTTTTTTTCAGAAAGAAACAGGAGACGATTAGTTTCTTCTTTAATTGTGCACACTTGTTTTGTATCTTTGTAATTTTATGTCTCAGTGATTGCTTTCTTAATAAAATCAATATAATTCATAGAAAATGCTATCTGCTTTATCTATTAGAGGTGACATGTAATTTTTTTCATGTCTACAGGTCAAGCAGATTTGGGAAGCTGCAGGGTATTCAGTGTGCACTAGCAGGTAGGAACCTTTACATGAGGTTCACTAGTAGTACTGGAGATGCTATGGGAATGAATATGGTGTCAAAAGGTGTTGAGAATGCCTTGGGCTACCTGCAAACTGATTTCCCCGACATGGATATCATCAGCCTATCTGGTTTGGTTCTTCCCTTCCGTTCTGTTATAGCAAAGAATTGCTAGTTTTGCACTCTTTCAATAAAACTTGCATGTTATTTTATTAGACAACTGTTCGAGAAAAAAAATTATAAGACAACTAAACACAGTGTACGTTTGAACTCTTTACTTGCCAGTAATTTTACACAAGAATTGCGGAAGGAACTGTTGACTGAGGCATGGAAAATGCATACTATTAAGTCCACTTTTGACCTCTCAACTATTAGGTTAGTCTAATTTTGACCTTCAACTACAAAACCGTCTAATGTTAGTACCCTAACTATCAAAACCGTTTACTTTTAACACCTGGACGCGGGTGAGGTTGTTTTGTCTAAAGTAGAGCGGTTTTGTCCATCTCAGTGACATGTGGGGCCCATGCGTCATCGACTCAACCCCTCCCTCTCCATCCTCACGGCCACTCCCCCGACACCTCCTCTCTTGGCCTTGCGCGGGCGGGCGCTGCTCCCTCATGCGGTGGGTGTGCAGCACCCAGCGAGCACACGACGGCAGAGGGGAGCTCTTCCCGCTGGCCATGTCGTCCGCCCCGCCCAGTCGAGCTCACTGCAGTTGGGACGAGGAATCGCCATGCGAGCCCACCCTTCGGCTGCGCTTAGGGAGGAGGAATCGCTGAAAGCACGGCGAAAGCCAAAGAAGACGGCACCTCGGCGAGCTCGGCAAAGACGGCTTCATCTTCGGCAGCGCGCGACATCCATGCCGGGGAGGCCCAGCAAGGCCGGCAGGACGTCGGCCCGAGCACCTCGGCGGGCACCCCAACGAGCACGATGAGCTCCTCGGCGGGCACCCCAACGATCGGGCGAGCACCTCGGCGGGCACCCCAACGAGCACGGCAAGCTCCTCAACGGGCACCCCCAACGATCACGGCGAGCACCTTGGCGGGCACCCCAATGAGCACGGCAAGCACCTCGGCGAGCACCTCAACTAGCACGCGCAACCGCTCCTCCACGACGTGCATGCCACTCCTGCGCCCACTCTAGCCCACTAGTAGCCACCAAGAGGCCGCGGGCACCAGCGGGAGTAGCAGCGGCAACAGCGGGGCCGGGGATTGGCTCCAGCTCGGTCCATCTCGATTCCATGCCGTCCGCGCGCCGAGGTGGCGTGGTCCGCCGTCCGCTGCTGCTACGGGCACCACCACAAATTCGCCTTCGCACGTGAGCACGAGGTGGAAGAAGGGCGGGTGCGAAGCAGGAGGTGGGTCGCCGGAGACAGCACGGGGGAGGGTCGCCGGGGAGGGCGTCGGAGACAGCGCTCGTCCCGTCCCGTGTCGACGGGAGCTCAATGACGAGCCGGCACAGGAGAGTCTGCTGCTGCTGCCCGTCTGCGTCTCGCACGCGCCGTCTCGGACACGCCCTGCGTCGGGATGGTGGCTGCGATGAATGCGCCGAGAGGCACACCTCCGGCACACGCCACGGTGGTCTCGCGCGAACTCCGGCGCTGCGCCACCACCTTGCAGCTCGCCGGCGAGAAACCGCCAGCGCCCGTCCACGCGCAGCGCTGACTCCGCCAGATGCCGATGGCGCCATGGCTAGCTCCGTCACCTTCCGTCCGCGCATGCAGCTTCGTGCACGTGGCTATCGGCGACCAGCGCTGGAGCACAACGGCGTGGCGAGCAAAGCCAAAGCGACAGAGAGACTCGAGCGCGACAACGGGTACTCAAGCATGGGGTGGCGGTGCTCCACCGGCGTGAGAGATGGTGGCGCGCGCCGCGCAGCAAGTCGGCGGCGCGGAGGAGGCCAAGCGCGAGGCGGCGAAGCTCGAGGCGGCCAACTACGCGCTTGCCGCCCGGATGCTTGGCACCGAGAGCTGCCGCTTCTAGGCGTTCCATGGGCCCGACGTGTTCTGAAGAGCTTACGGCTCTGCTCCCTCGCGCGGCCTGGAGCGCGCCCGCGCGCAGTCCCACCTCCACCACGGTCGCGGCGCTTGACGGCGTCCTTGGCCTCCTCCACCACCGCCCGCGCGGGCCGGAACTCGTGCATCATCACCTCGGCGCCGCCGCCGGGCACAAGTGCGGGCGCGGCCATGACCTGCCGGCATCATCACCCCGGCGCCGCCGCCGCGCGCGAGCGCGGGAGCGGCCACGGACCTGCCGGCCTCCGCCGCGACGCTGCTGCGCGCGGGACAGCGCCGACGCGACGAGGCGGGCCATGCCTGCGTGCACGGCGTGGAGCAGCGCCAGCGCGGCCCGGAGCAGCGCCCGCGAGGGAGCCATGCAAGGGAGCAGCGCCCGCCCCTGCTGCGCGCGGAGAGAGGAGGCATCGGGGGAGTGGCCGTGAGAATGGAGAGGGAGGGGTTGAGTCGATGACGCGTGGGCCTCACATGTCACTGAGATGGACAAAACCGCTCTATGTTGGACAAAACAGCCTCACCCGCGCCCAGGTGCTAAAAGTGAACGGTTTTGCCCGTTAGGGTAGTAGCGTTAGACGGTTTGGTAGTTGAGGGTCAAAATTAAACAAACCCAATAGTTGAGGGGTCAAAAGTGGACTTAATCCTACTTTTTATTGGTTCTGTGCCAGTGTTACCCAAGGAAAGTGTGTACCAGATTGTTTGATAAGTTTTCATTTTGCTCTCCATACTCAAGAGCTCAATGTGTAGAATACAAGCTGCTCTTCTCACAATGCATGGTTTGCTACATTGCATCTGCCCCCGAGCAAACTTGTTCTGAGGCTGAGCATCTTCAGCTACCATCGCCACTTTTTCTTACTCATCATTGCAACTGTAACCTGAGAAAGGTATGTCTCTGTATCAGATTACGCTGAATCTGAAATCTTCGTGTTGCTATCTATATTGTTTTATCACTCTCAAGCTCAAGCATAAATAGAAGCTGCTTTTCTCTATCTCTATTTCTACAACTAAAACATACAGATTATCAACATCTATCCGGCAGGACCAAAACACTCATGCAATCCATATCCGGCAGGCAAATAATCACCGCATGGAGACACAGGAAGGCAAGTAAATATCATGGAATAAAACGGAAAGAAAATTATGGGAAGAGAAAGGAATTTATTAGAATATCACCACGCAATGATCATGATAGTGATCCAAATCTCATTCATCGTCTTTCGCATTGCGTGTTGACAACAAATATTTTTTTTCCTAAAAAATGAGTTATTGCCATGCCTCATGCGGGCTAGGATATTGTAAGTCCGAGTATACATATTTTGGCAAGCCAGAGCATGGATAAATTCAATTCAATGCCTACCAATAAAATTTTCAGCCTTTGAGGCAATTGATGTTTGTCGTAACTTTCAGACAACAAGCTCCAAGCTTAGCTTTTATTTCAGATTTATTACGGTAATGTGTTTCTATTATCATGGTATAATACACGTGTTTCGGGTTCATAAATTATCATGGTATAATACAAAACGTGTAATTCATGGGCGGCCCAAGAGTCTTAAAAAAAGCCGAATAAGTCCGGTCGCCGACGAAGGTCCCTCAAAAGAACAAGCCTACCGGGACTTCGGCCACCTCTCCGAGGAGCATTCACTTCGGGCACCGGCCTTCAGGAAAAAAAGGCATGTAATTCATGGGCCGGCCCCGTCAGAGCCTCTAAAACACAACGGGCCGAAGGGACAAATCCGGTCCGAGGGCAACCGGAAGGTCTACCAAAAAAACGATACAGGACCGCCTTGTGCGCTCGTCAAATTTCTTGACCCACCTCTCCGACGACATTTGTGTCTATAGTATTGTAGGCGTCATTGCGCTCCCATCTCCCCCACATACCTCTGGGCATCGAAGTAGGCGCCGTGGCCCAAACACACATACCAATTCCATCCACTCCTAAAGACCAACGCCTCCCATGTGCACTGGCATTCTATAGTGACGGGGGGGCCCCCATCAAGCCCGCTCGGCATGGGCAACAAGACTTAGTAACATCTTCTCTCCCTCTCACTGTAAAAGCCATTCCCTTCTTCTATAAAGGCGCGCCCTCCAACGAAGAGGGGCTTCCTCAAGTTTAGTTGATCGACGTTCAACACTTTTTAGTCATCGGATGGCCCATTTTCCACCACCACCACCTCGGGCGGGCTTTCGGCGACACGATTTCGCTCCCACTCATTGAACACCTTCCTTCCTTAGCAGACGCAACCTCCCATGTGCACACGGCATTATAAGCGGACTTTTCCGCCTCTCACCCGCCGGGATGTGGGTTCCACCATCCTCGAGTTGTCCCAGGCCTTTCTCTTGGGAAGCTCGACTTCCATCGGGCAGCACATTGCCGAACCAGCTATATCCGGCCACCTCCGATCACTCCACCTCCAAATATTCACTAGTTTGACTTTACATGACCCGACACCCGTCCGAGAGACGCTTCTCCATCGACTCGGATGGCCCATTTTTCCGCCACCACCACCGTATGCGGGGCTCGCGGATTAACGCCTTTTGTTCACCGGACTTTCCCGCTTCATTACGATGCAAACTCTCGAGCTGTCAAACCCCTTCCTCTAAGTAATCGTCGTGTACTTTTATTCGCCTTTATTTACTACCTCCACCAATCATCCTCAGCGGAGGGACTACACCCCTCACACCCCACGAACATCGTGTACGTTCGCCTTTATTCCTCCCACCAATCATCGGGGACTCACCCCCACCATGATGTTATGCTCGGGGATCCCACGGAGGCTTCGCGCTCAGGCACCATCCCCGCTCACCATCCCCTCACGTCCGAATTCAAGGAATGGTAGGCTTCGCTCCCCGTCGTTTCCCACGAACTCCCGGATAATGAGGGCGAGAGCGATGGTTCCAGCATCGGTGATGTGGCGTCCCGCCACCATCCATTCTAGGAATGCGCTATGGCGGATGGTCCAGCACAACCGCCGGTGGTTGTCGAGTCCGTGCAAACTCACATCCCTCCGGACACGCGTGCGGAGACCCTCGCGTCTGCGCAAGCACACGCTGAGGAACTACGACAACGACGGCAGAACACGCCACCTGCGCCGGCACGATCGGTGCGGCACGTTGCGCCCC